ACCCACTTGTCCTGATGTAACTTTTTTGCAGCTCGGGTCTCCTCCTTCTCCTCCTCCTCTTTATTCCTCATGCTTTTTGCACCTCTGCCACCTGCACAGGGTGTCTATGACAGTTGCTGCTGAGGTAGCCAATCTAGGACCTCATCTCCTCCCGGCCCAGCCACAGTGCCAGCTCCCGTTGTTGGGCCACACTCAGCCTCACCCATTCTGCCTCCCATCCTCTACCACAACTGCCTCTCTCCACCTAGTACATAACAAAAAGCATGAATAGACCTGAAGCAAGTAGATCACAAAGCATCCTCCACCTAATGTCTGTATCAGTTCCTCTGCTCCCTGAAATGTTACAAGCCCCCTTTGTCTTCAGACTCTCTCAATCCTGTCATCAGCTTCTGCCCAGCCCTCCTTCCACAGACACGCAGCCACTAGGCATTTCAGAATTCACATTTGCAAAGAGGAAACCCCAACATAATAAAGCATACCCTACAAGACAAAAATCTCCCTGAAACAAGGGGAGCAAACCAACTTCCACTTTCTCCATCTTCTTTTTAAAGGTGGCACATGGGATGCTGGAAACCCATGGATAATGTGGTGGAAGATGAAATACTCATTGAATCACAAATGTGGGGGGGTCGCATAAAAACTAGCATAAAAACTCCCCTGTTAAACAACCCAAACGGAAAGTAAACTTGTCAAGATGCAGTTTTTTATGTAGAAGTTATACAAGATACGCCATCATCAGAACCCACCAAAAATACGACACATCAAGAAATTTTTGTTTCCAGAAGACAATAGAATCAACAGTGAGATGTTCAGCTGTTAATTCACCTCCATCAACAAAGAGTTTTCCAGTCCCTGTTATGCTCAGCTTTGCCTCAACAGCAGAGTGAGCAGATCAGAAAATAATGATGAAAACCAAAGCGTGGGCTGAGAGTGTGTTATGTGCCAAACAGTTTTAAGGGCTGATGGATGACAATGTGTGGACTCCTAGGAAGCCTGTGAAGTGGATGCAATTATTACCCCTGTATCCCATGCTATAGAAGGAAAAACCTGAGACACGTGCTGTGGTTTCAAAGCATAAACAGGATTTCACCCTGTGTATGCTAGAGAAGAAAGCAATGTAACCATGGGCAGAAGGGATGCCCAGGAGGGACTGAAACAAGATGCCATGACAGCTGGTGTCTTGGAGGTCTACTTTGTATTGAGTGACCACAGACAAACTTTGGATGTGATAGTGACAGGCAGAAACACACCATGGGAGATCAGGACAGAGACGTCACCATGCCCAGAACCCCCAAAGTTGCCAATGCAGCACCCCTGTCCCTGGCCCTACTTTCCAGTGCAGGGCTGGACCTGAGCACCTGAATTCCTCAGAGTCCTGTCACTCACCATCCCGTATCTCTTTCCTGCAGGCCAGAGTTGAGAAGAACCTCAGCTGTCTTTAAACACACCAGGTGTCACTACCAAGAGGTCTAGAAATTCACCTGTTTCTTATATGGACAGAACAAGCCCCAATTCTTAGGTTAAAGGACCTCTAACCCCCTCATATGATAGTATTTGGAGGTGATGCCTTTGTGTTAGGAGATGGAAATTAGTGTTAAATGAGATCATGATGATGGAATTCCCATGATGGAGTCAGTGCCCTTATAAGAAAAGCCTGCACATGTCTTTAATTCTAGCACTCAGGAGGCAGAGGCAGGCCAGTCTGGTCTATATAGGGAGTTCCTGACCATATGGGACTACAAGGAGACCTTGTCTCAAAGAAGGAAGAGGAGGAGGAGGAAGAGCAGAGACTTTAAACATTTTTTCTTTACCATGTGAGTATGAAGCAAGAGGGCAGTGATCTCCAAGCCAGGCAGAGTTCTCACCAAACACCAGGCCCATCAGCACCTTCATCTTCAACTTCCCAGCCTCCAGAATCGTGAGAAAGCATTCATTAAAGCTACCAAGCCTAGGGTATTTTGTTGTAGCAGCCAGAGCTAAGATCTAAGGGCCTCAAGGTCTCTGCAACTTATCCCTATCTCATGTTTTGTACACAGTGACCCACCTGCCTGCAGACTGTAAAAGGAAATATCTAAGGCTTAGAAGCCAGGTCATTCCTTCTCAATCTGTGGAGATAAATCATGTGTTTTCTATATCACTGGCTAAAATGAAGAATTTTTTTGTTTCCCTATGCAAAATATAAACAAATATTCAGGAAAATTACTATGTTAAACCAGTCTTAGTTTTTGTTAAACATTCAAAAATACTGTTTGAGTGCTGGGGATCAAAGCCAGAGCCTTGTACATGCTAGGTAAGCACTCTACCACTAAGCCATCCAACATCGATCAAACCCCTACCTATCAAGCAGTTCTCTTGTGATGTGCTCCTTGGCTTTTGGTATGCCTTGAACCACTGGGGACTTCATTAGGATTCAGACTCTAATTCAGTAGGAAGGCAGGCCAGATTCTGCATTCCTAGCAGACTCCTGCTGACACCCTACACTGAGCCTTAGGCCCCTGCCCTGGGAACATCAATTCTACCTTTCTCTCAAAATCACCTAGGATGCTCTTTAAAAAGCATGGGCTCATAGCTGGGGGGTGGGGTGGCACATTGAGCTTGGTGTGGGGGCTTCATTCACTCATTCCAGATGCTGAGTCTGTAACTGAGGTCTTAGCCACCCCAGGCAGAGCCCAGCACTGTCAGTTGACTTAGGGTAATCATGTGGCCAAGTTAACCTAAGCCTACGGAACCTGTCTCAGGGTTTAGCACATTCTCCGTAACACTTGGAGCCTGGGAGAACACAAGGATGACCCTTTGGAAATGATCTTCCCATGTTAAAGTCTAAGAGAATCCGTGTTAGAGACACCTTTAACTTCTGACCCCACTCTTCCAGCTACCAAGCCAATCCAATTTCTCTTGTTTGCTAAACTCAGTTTGGAAAGGTTTCTGTCATTGAAATGATGCCAGCCTCATCTATGTCCATGGCTACACAGACCCCAACAGACCAGTTCTTTTCTCATATGTGCACTACAAATGCTTCCTGCCAGGTTGCTGACTCCAGACCTCTGTGGTCCCTTCATGGCTATCTGACTTTCCTGGGTCAAGATCTGGTCTTCTCAACTTGGTTGTAAGCAGGCAGAGGCTGCCTCTTGAAACCTGCTTAGACTCCACAACGGAGCTGACATACAATAGCAGGTGCTTGCTAATATGCAAAATAGAGAGAGGGTGGACACTGGAAGCTGGAAAGACAGCCCCTACCTGACCTGGGAGGAGACTGGGGGCTGGTAGAGTGGGAAGGGCAAGACACTGGAGGCCAGATAACTCAGAGATGCTGTTGCTGGTCCAGAGGTCTTTGGAAGCCACTAAACTGGCCTTTATAAAAACACCCTGGAGACTGCAATATGTCATACATCAAAATGTGCTTTCAGTCCATCCTCCGCCTTTCTACCTGAGGCCTTTCTACCTGCCAATCTCCACTATGGAAAGAGTCAGCACAAAGCACAATGTGTCAATTGCTAATATGGGTGGCTGCTGGAATTTCCCTTCCATGAGACGACAAGGTCAGACTCTCCTGCAAGACACGACACACTGCTTTAAAGTCCATGGAATACCTTGGACAGACACTATATTTAACATACAGGAACCACTATGGCACACAGGAGAACTCTAGCATTAGAAGTGGGGCCCTGTCTAAGCCAACATGCCAATTCCAGAGTGTCAGGTCCTTAGAGTGACAGAAAGGATCCATGCTCCCTGTCCCTGGTCTTACACATTTACAGTTATGAGACAACACCCCTTGGATGGAGTCAGGGTGGCTCCATAGATCCATCTCCCTGACCAAAAAAGATGTGCTAGGAATATGAATGATATCTCTGCTTTCATAAACACTAGAACCAAAGAAACAGCCTAGGCACACAGACCTGGGCTCCAAAGTCAGCTTCAGCACCTACATATGAGGTGTGTGACCATCTCTACTTCAGATCTTTCCTAACCCCAAAAGTGGGGATACTGCCTACCAAGGCTGACAACAGAAGCCATGCGCACTCATCCAAGCCCCCTTCTTTGCCCTGGGGTGCCATCTCCTTCTATGCATTGTCCCTTGCAACGCCTTACCAGATTCTTCCAACAACTCAGAGCAGGCAAGTGTTATTCTGACCATTTCACAGGTTAGAAAAACAGACACCCCAGAAGATTATGTCCAGCATCTCAGTAGAAAAAAAAAAATCTATAACAAAATTGATTTCTCTTGAGACTTTTGAAAACATTACCCTACTGGATTCTCCTTCCAAAGACCCCAAGGGATGGACCCAGAGAAAATGCCTAGACCTGTCCTAGGCAGCTTCCACATGCCTGCCACTAGCAGGTAGATTCTCTACTCCTGAGAAATTTTTCACTGGTTTGAGTGAAGCCTGCCTACAGTGGGAGAATAAATTGGATATTAGCATTGGATCCCTACCACCCCTGAGGCCCCAGAGAAGAACATCAATACTACTTCCCAGGACAAGCAGAACAGAACCCACCTACAGGGATGGAATGGTACCCCAGGGACTTCCACTCCAGAAGGGCCCCAGCAACCTAGAGTCCTTCCTTTCAGTAGTCTGGAGTGCTCCCACATTGGTAGGTCATCCCATAACAACACCTAATGAAAGCTATGGATTTTCTGTCCCAAGAGTACCATCAAATGCATGCATCAAGCAAAGGGGAAGATGTCAGACACCAGGGCAGACCCATAGAATCAAGAGAGCAGGAAAAATACGTTGCCTCTATGAACACAGTAAGAACAAATGATAATGTCTTTAAACACTTGAGCATGACCTTCATAGCTGCTGGCTAAAGAAAGCACTTGTGTTGCTTAGCAGCATGGTTGATGAATGTAAGTTTCCTTGCAACGCCATGCAGCTACCCTTTCTCGTTCAAGTTCCTAAGACTGTCTTTCCCAGCACTGGCTGAACTGTCCACATAAAGCACAAAATCCAGGCTGGGCCAAATACCTTTGGGGGGGAAGGAAGACTGTTTCTTACCAGGATCTGTGCAGTTTTTAGTCAGCTGAGTCCCATTCATTGGAGCCATCAACTTTCTATTTCGCCACGTGTCTGGCAGAGTGCGTTTGCTAGCAGAAGCTGTTTTGTGCCCTGAATTGGAAAACAAGTCATGGATACCATCCAATCAATGTGATTCCCTCATTCTCAAAACAACCTTACACCTGTGCATCTAGCTACATCAATAACAGCCAGATTTGGCTATTTATAGCCACCTGTAGGGAGTGATACAGTGATTGGAAGTGGGCTATCACCTTCTTACACACAGTAGCCTGCTTCCTGAATCTAATCCATTGTTTCAGGCAGATCACTCTGTGATCGGACCTTGGACAAGACTGAGCAAGGAAGGGTTTAGTTAAGAGCATTAAGCACTCTTTCAGTAAACTCACTCAGGTGGCTCCTACCAATGGATGCTATGTTCCTGAGTAGGTCAGGCAGGTGATGGTGCATGGCCAGGTTTTTGCACACCTGACTGTGCACACATACCACCTGGGGCTCTTGTCCAAATGCAGCTGCTGTTTCAGTAGGTCCAAGGTGGAACTTGAGGTTCTGTACTAACAAATGTCCAGGTTATATGGATGCTGTCTGTCCAGGGGCCACACTGAGCCACATGGGAGAAGGCATGGATGTCTCTCAGCAAAGACAGTTAAACACCTGAAAGTGATTCCTGATCCAGCAAATAAAAAAGGATCCTTGCTTTAAGACTTCATTTTAAAGCATTCATTTCCCTCTTCCGATGCCCAATGCCTACAGTGTTTCAGGTGGTAATAATACCCCTTCCAGAATGCTGACATCTCACAGCCTCTAAACATTTTTGTTATTTATAGTGTTTAATTGGGGGAAAGGGACCCATTGCCTTTCTCAGTTGCAAAGCACCACGTATTAAGATGTTCAAAATAAACTTTCTGGGTTTCTTTTGAAATGAGTCACTTTTTAGTCCTTTATCCCCAAATCACAGTTTGGGTTTTGAAAGACAGTGGTGTTTCTAAGTTGAATCAAGTTTCATTTGCTGATTACATATCACAATGAATGTCTCTAAATGGTCCCAACACACTACAATAAAGCCTTTCTAAGCACTCAAAGAGGTGCCAGTCAACTGCTTATGCCTCCACCTCAGTGGCTAAATTGCCATCATTTGTTTTTTACATTGGAAAAAATAAAAGGTTCACAGCATCCAGTTCTGAAATAGCTGGGCAATGAATGAAAACTGAACTTGAACTCAAATCTCCCCAAGGTAGATATGTTGCAAATTTCTTCTCTTTCCCTATTTTGCCTGAAATTTGTATGTCTTGGTAAACTCCCAGATCCCCTCTACTTGGAGGGACCTGGTTCGAAGCTCCTCAGCATGCCAGCCCTCTCCTCCTGTGGGGCTAGATCCCAGTTGAGAGAAGCAATGCTGGAACATGGCAGCAATCTCCCGCGGGGACAGACTGCCTATCAATCCCTTTAGGGTTTGATACCCCAAACCAGTCAGGAAACCTAGGTCACCGGTTTGAACCAGAGCAGGAGCAGGGGAGAGAGGAGACCTAACCCGTGAGTGTGGGTCTTTGAAGGACCCGGCGCACAATCCTTGCGGTTCTGCACAACAGGAAAGCGGACCGCTTAGTTTCACCCCATAGCAAGAGAATCTACCCCCCTGGCACGCCACTGCGCTGTTCATTGCTCGCGCACTCTAGGGACAGAGGCGATGCAGGGGCACAGGCTTCCGTCTCAGTAACACAAATCTACAGCCTCATCTCGAGTCTCCAGGGGCGGAAAGCAGCTGAGTGGAACCAGAGCCACAGACCAGCGCACGGCTCAGCCTTCCTAGGTACGAGCTACCTGCTGGGCTGGGAGGAGACAGGAGGAAACTTGGGGACCAGTCTGACACGGACCGAGCCGAAGCTCAAGCCCCCGAACTCCCCGGGTGGAGAGCACCCTTCCCAGCACCTACCCAAGCTGCTGAAGAGGCCGGACGCACAGCACACCAGGGCCAGCACCGCGCACACAAAGCCAACTTGCTGCGGCAGCATCTCTCGCCTCCCGCGAACTTTGCGCGGCCGGAGGGGGCGGCGGAGCGCCATCCCCGAGCGCTTGGCGTCCCTGGGAGAAGATGCTGAGCTTCAAGGGTCGGAGAGCTGTCTGTGGCCCAGCAGCGCCGGGGTTGCAGCGGGCGATGGGCAGCTTAGAGGCGAGGGTCTCCGGGCGACACCTTCATGGCCCGCGAACAAGGCGGGCGGTGAAGGGGGAGCCCCGACGGGGACACCCGAGGAAGGGGCGCACTGCGTGGCCGGAGCTCAGAGTCTCCGGCAGGGCGTTCGCGCAGCGCGCACCATGACTCCGTGGCTAGGAGGCAACGCCGGCACGGTGGCGCTGGCGGACCTGGCTGCTCGGCTGGGCGCGGACCCGGCGCTTGAAGCCGCTACCTGCCCGCTGAGCCTCGGCGCGCTGGTCCGGCGTATCCCGCCAGGAGCGATCAGAGCGATCCGAGCGCCCCCGCCGCCGCGCCCACTCGCAGCAGCATCCTCCTCGTCCAAGTTTAGCGGCTGCTGCCCGGGCTGCCCGCCCGCGAGTCTCCCCTGCTGCCTGGATTGCCGAGCCCGGGCGGTCAAGTGCTTGCAGGCTTCACGCACAGGACTCGAGACCCTCCCCACCAGTGGCCTCAGCGTGGGGCCTCCCGAGGGCGACCTCTCCCTCGGAACTTTCTCTCTGGCTCCTCGACTAGCCCGCGCCTGCGTCTGCGAGACAGTGGCGCCTCCAGCTAGCTGCTCTCGCCTCCCTACTCCTCCCCTCCCGCTCGCCGGCCTCCCTCCCTCCCTCCTCCCCAGCACGTGTACACCTCCCCTAGGGCGCTGTCGCCAGTGTATTTCTCCCTTCCTCCCGGAGGCCCAACTACTGACCAATATTATTTCTTGCCCCCCTTTTCTCTCTCCCTATGGAGCCGGAACGCGCCCTTTCCTTAGCACCCACGGCTGCTGCAAGGAGGAACAGGTTATGGCACCCCCACAGACACTCAGAACCAGGGTTTCTTCAGAGCTCTGGCTCGGGTCCAGGGTCCCCACTACCCTCTCGAGCGACCCGAGACGGTCACCAACCCCCTGGGTCGCGAGATGCACCAGTGGCTCAATTGCTCACGGAGAGCTAACAAACAGGCTTGCACCAAGCCAACAAGGCTCCCGCCGGGACCCGCTCAGGCAGGGCTCTGAGGGCTGACTAGGGATCTGTGTGGCGGGGGCGCGACACTGACCTGCAAAACGCTGGTGATCAGGCGGAGAGAGAACCCCCGCAGTTGGCTATTCCATCACCCACCCGTTGTGAGCTTTTGGTATTTCGGAGCCTTCCAGCTTCGCAGAGCTTTCTGGTTTGGGCTTGTTTTTATACCCGTCTTTTGGGCACTCCAGTGTTAAGTGCTTTAAAAATGAGGAAAGAGGGAAATTTTCCTATGAGCAATGGGCCGCTGTCGTCCAAGCGCAGACAGGTGTCAAGGACCTGTAGTGGGAAAGACCTCTAATGGGACTTCCTTCCCTGGCAATTTTATCAAGTGCTGATCTAAGACCTACTTACGGGTTAAGTTCAAGGCAAATCATTTCTGGAGCAAGGCCAATTCTGTTTAATTAAATAAATACATACCCACCACGTGTGGGCTCCCTGCCAGGTGCCAGCCAGCCGAGAAACAAAACAAGAAAATGTGTGTTAAGACCTAGCGCCTGCTTTCAAGGAACCCTAAATCAAAGGGCAGCCAGACCCTCGTGCCTGCTGAGTGGGATTCTGAAGTCAGTGTTTTGCAGGGTGTGCCAGCATACTCTTGCTGTTCCATAGACTGCTGCGTGGTCCTCCGCCGCAGAGGCATTGCTGGGAGCTTGTCAGACAAGCAGGCTGCATAGCTCCATCCCAGACCTACCAAGCCACAGTTAGGATTTTTAACCAGATCCCTCCAGAGACTTTGTGCACAGCCAAGAGTAAGAAGAGTTCCCTTCTAAAATCTGTCCCTAATGCCTCCTCCAGCTAGCCACCAGATCCCTCAAGAGACTTTGTGCACAGCCAAGAGTAAGAGTTCCCTTCTAAAATCTGTCCCTAATGCCTCCTCCAGCTAGCCACCACCTGTGGGGTTTCCTTGGATGTGTGAGGCAGGAGCCTTTTACATTTGTTAGCCCCCCATAGAGACACAGGTATGAGATGCTTAAAGGGATGGAGAGGGAGGCTTACTGTTTTCAGCAGTTTCATTTCAACATTGTTCTGTACAGTCCAGAGAATGATCTGCCACAGCTTTTTTTGTTTTGAGTGAGTTTGTTAAGTATGTATCAAACCAGAGTAACAGAGGAGATAGCAAGTAGTAAGTAGGTAGATAGGTGATAGACACATATGTACATAAATACATGCATCATAGATAGATAGATGGATAGATACATGGATGGATAAATGCATAGATGATTGATGATAGATAGACAGATAATCATTAAAGTGAGCACTAGAAACATCCAGCAGAAATCGACTGGGGACTTCCCTTTAAGGAAGCCAGCTGGACTTCCAATAGAGTCTTGGGAAAAGCAGATGTCCCCTGGGTGAGGCTTCCCAGTAAAAGAACAAATAGCAACAGATAGAGATGACATTGTGAAATCAGGAGCTTACAAACATCCCACAGAAGTTGAGGCAGTCAGCTGGAGTTCCCAACTGAACTTTCTCTCCAGGCATGAGCTTCCCATGGATGAACTGCCCAGGCTTAAACTTCCAGCATCTCCTCCCCTCCCCACGCAGGCACTTTTATATCATGGAATAAACAATAGTAACCTCTTTGGAAATGGTTTACCTTTTAGCTGTTCTCAAGGGCATAATGTTCTTGCTCTTGGGTTGTTTTGCTGTTCTCTTCCCTCTGTGTCACAGAGTTGGGGGCGGGGGCAGCCCACCCCCCAGACAAGGGATCTTGAAGAACACTTCAAACATGCTTGGGTCTGAAGTAGGGGGGCACACCCCCAGTTTTAGAGCTCTTAATGAACTCAACACATGAGAATTTACCAATGTAGTGTACATTACAAAGATACTGAAGGTATAAACACAAGACTAATTGCATGGAGAGCCCTAGAGGACATGAAATGGAAAGAGCCAGGATTGGCCTTGTATAGATCAGTGCAGGATTCTTTCTGGCCTGTAGCGATGCCTCACTATTGAGGCTCGTCCTACAGTTTGGTGCCAGCAACCAAGCATACCCACCTGCAATTGAAAAGATACTTTTCTATACATTTGCAGAAGGTTTTGTTTTTTCTCTCTTGACTAGACAAGGATGCATTCATCAATACCAAAGGGACCATCATAAAAGTGTTAAGTACATTACTTGGAGAGCTGCTTGGCAAGTGCTCTTGATACCCAATTTAAGACAGAGGAAAGAGTTGACGTGATACTACACTAATGTCTGGCTCCTCAGACAGCATTCAGGTAGCACTGGTTAAAGCTAAAGCAGCAAAGTACTTGACATATTGCTTCTAGAATTTAATAGTTTATTAAACCTTGCATCTATAGAGATCACCTAGGATTGAAGAAAATAGAAAAATTTGAATCCAGAGCAAGTCAAAGGAGTCATTGGGTGTGCACCTTGAAACATTTGGCCAGCCCTGTAATAGACTGTTTCTTTGCTCTGACATTTTTCACCTGATTTCAGTTAATAATAAGAACCTTTGGAATAATCTCACTTGCACAAATGGATTCTTTCATTTGACAGTTTAAAAAGCAATTCATTTGAAATTGTACTTTTTTTTCTGCTTCTTTTAAATAGTGCCCATTACTAAATGGCCTCAGTTACAGCACTAATGACTCAGCCTGCAGAGGAAAGAACTGGGTTTTATGTACCTTTCAGATTCAAAGCATTCAGGAGCATTTTCTTAATCAGTGAGGCCATGGGCACAAATGGAAAGTGATTTCCTGGGTTTATCTTGAGCCCTGGTGTCAATGCAGTTGGACTCTGAGTATCTCTTTCTGCAACAGTGTGTTCTCTTCTGATTTGACACAGATGTCCACAGAGCCAAACACATTTAGCCATTTCAGTGGGCTCAGTCCATGGGTGATAGGAACAGTGATGTTTTTCCTTTAAAATCCTTACAGCATGGTATGCTTTACTATTTAATAAGTCTCTTACTCAGATTTTTAAAGTTTGCTAGAATGACCTCTAACTTTAAAATATTTTTATTTTAAAAAGTATGCCTGCATGTGCATGTGTGTACACTGATAGGTGTGGAGACCAAAGATTGGTATCATGTGTCATCTTCTAATTGTGTTCCACCTTCTTGTTTGAAACTATCTTTCACTGGACCTGGAGCTGACCATTTGGGCTGGACTAGCTGGCCAATGAACCCCAGTGATCCACCTGTTTTAACCCCCTTAATTACTCCCTGTACTAGGATTATAGATACACACCACCATGCCCAACTTTTATGCGGGTGCTGGGTATCTGAATGTAGGTTCTCAAGCTTGCATAGCAAGCATTTTGCCCACTGAACCATCCTTTCATTCTTCCCCTGTGACTTCTAATTCCTCCTACTCTGTAAGATGAATGCTTTAGTCTGCACTGTCTAAACAATGGTTCTCAAACTTTCCTTTGCTTCAGAAATTCCTGGAAGGATTATTAAAACCTACCCCCGCCCCCAAACCTGCTGAGCCCTATCCCAGAATTTCTGCTTCAGTAAAAAGAGAGGATGGGGCCTGAGTATGTGCATGTCTAAGTAGTTTCATTCCCAAGTAAAGAAAATGCTGCTGGTCCTGGGACAACACTTAGAGAACCACTGGGCTGGGTTATGCTGGTCTGTCAAGAAGAGTGTGACTTGAGGAGGGGTCACACAGGTGTCTGGGATCAGTGACAGCACCAAACATTGCTACTTTTCATGTCAAAAGGGAAAAGGAATTTCCTAATTTTTTCTCCATTGCTGTGACAAAACACTCTGACCACTACCAACTTGGGGAGGAAAGGGTTTATTTGTCTCACATCTCCTGGGTCACAGTTCATCACTGAGGGAGGCCAAGGTAGGAACTCAGGGCAGGAACCTGGAGGCAGGAGCTGGAGCACAGGCTTTGGAGGAATGCTTCTCACTGGCTTGCTCCCTGGCTCTAGCTCAGCCTGCTTTCTTATGCAACATAAACCCACCTGCCCAGGGGTGGCACCACCCACAGTGGGCTGGGCTCTTCCATATCATTCATCAAGAAGATACCCCACAGATATGGCCACAGGCCAGTCCGATAGAGGAAATTTCCCAACTGAGGCTCCCTCAACCCAGGTGTGTCAACTTGACACTAAAGCTATCCAGCACAAGGGACTTGCAGGCTCTGGTGCTGGCTACAAATGCTGTAGCCTGAAAGTGGTTGCTGACCACAGCTCAACAGTCACCAAGCCTGGTCACCTGGTCTCAGCAAACCCCAGGAGTTCCACAAGTGTTATTGGAACCACTAGATGAAACTGGAACTCCACAATAGACAGCCCCAAAGACATCCATCAGTGCAGATCTTGTCCCTCCTCTATTCTAAGACCCTTCCTGCCTGTCCCTTCCTCCTCCCTGCTAAAGTTGGTCCAGCTCTGTCCCAAAGGCCCTATTTCATATCTCCAGAGTGGCTTGTCTGTCGCATTGTTTGGGGATGTAGGCATTAGTCTCCTCCTAGTGAGTGAGGGACATAGGGACTATCTTATCTGCAGCCTGTGGTGTCCAGCCCACAGGGTGCTTAATAAAGTACTTAGAAATGAGAAAACACATTTTTGCTTACAGAGAGAAGATAAGGAGCAGCTCCCTGCAGTGCCACTGTCACCATCACCAGCTCAGATTTCCACACATCTTCATGGTCAAGGTCATCAAGGACACTCTTGCATGCCCTATTCTTATAACAGTCACATCTTTAACTTATTTAACAATGCTGCTTCCCTCAAATCAAGGTAGACAACTGTTATATCCTTGGTAAGCTTGCTCCTTGGATCCTTGTGATTTTAAGTGTAGAAATAACCACCACCTTTGTTCATTACTCATTTGGAAGACAGTGACTGACCACTTAACAGTAGAGCATTTTACACTCACATACCCTGCCACATCATAATCCTACAGAGAGGCCTGCCATACCACAGCGATGAAATTCAGCGCTAGAGTGCCAGAAATTTAGTCAGGTCAGGGACATAGCTCAGTGGATAAAGCATTTGCCATGCAAGTGTGAGGACCTGAGTTTGGGTCCCCAGAATCTGTGTAAAACTATCTGTAATTCCAGTACTCCTAAGGTGAGGTGGAGACAGGAGAGTCCCTGGAAGCTGACCTGACAG